GTCCTGCGAGAGCACGAAGCGCGGACAGCCTCTGGAGGTGGAAGCGGAACGGCCCGTATCCTACGTTGCGAGCTATGTGTCGGCCGACTCTCCCAGCGACCAGATTTCTAAACCGGGCCTCCCGGCCACTGACTCCAAAGCCTCCTTCGAGGCACATGTCAGAGAAAAGTTTAACAGGATGGTAGAGGCCGTGGACAAAACAATTGAGAAGCGAATCGACAAGCTTACCAAAGAGCTGGCCCAGAAGACGGCGGAGCTGCTGGAGGTGCGGGCAGCTTTTGTGCAGCTGTCCCAGAAGAAGCAGGAGGTGCAGCGACGGGAGCGGGCCCTGAGCAGGCAGGTGGACGTGGCAGTGGAGATGATCGCAGCCTTGAAGCAGCGCCTCACTGAGTCCGAGGAGGAGCTTCACCGGAAAGAGGAGTAAGTGGGGAAGTGAGAGCTGATGGCTTTGCGCGGGCCAGCTAGCGCCTGTGCGAGTGAAAGCGCGAGAACAGAGGGAATGGTTTGGTCGCTTGCTGGTTAGGAAAGGGCCTGGTGCCCTCCAGCTTCTGATCACTGTATTTCTAGAGCTTGTAGCCCATGCGACATTGTTCCCTGCAAGGCAGGATGCCCTCAAAGCCCCACAGACCCCAACTACCAGGTGCCCCTGCAAGGCAGGGGACAGCTCCCTCAGCAGGTGTCTTTCATGCTTGACTTCCCAGTGACTAACTTTCAGCCTCTAGTGCCTCTGTTGTGTCCCAGGTTTCATGGGTGTAGGGACAAGTAGAAGCTATCATTGGCATGTAATCTGACTTACACTGACACCTCTAATCCATCGTCTTTTTAAGAAGAGATGAGTGGGTAAGTGCTGGAGGAAGTATGTAAGAATACCAGATAGCACCTTCTCCCTGAAGTCCTCCCTCCATGGTCAACAAGCTGCCCGTGGTGTGGGGTAGTCTCCCATGCAGCAGTAAAGCTGTACTGGAGTCAGTGCTAAAAAAGCCACGTCCAAGCAGGTGTTTCAGATGGACACAGAACTGTGAAACTGGAATCACTTTTATGGGAATGGGAAGCAGATGTCAGAGTCATTCTGACTAACCTAGGCCATCTAAAAATATGTTTGTGATGCATCCATTAAAAATGTAGTGATAGCTGATATATTATTTATACATGAACTACTTAGTTTATTCAGCACTTGCTGAAACCTTTCAGGTTCTTTGGAGCAACACAGCTTATTTTAGAGGAATGGAAAAAAGAGCCTTGGTAATGGAGTGCTTCTAAATCAATTCATCAACTTACCAAGGGAAGATGAGAAGTGCTAGTTGCCATGACACTGATCTTGGAAGAAATGAGGAAGGTGGTGTAGGAGTTCAGTGTAGGAAGTTTGCAGGGCTTTCATAATTCCTTCCTGTAGTCTAAGGACTAGAAAGAAGAGATTACGATGGCTCCTATATCAGTAGGAAAGCAGAAACCATTCAGTGGAGCAAAACCAGAGTTCTGCAGTGCTGCGGAAGAAGAAAAGGGCTCGTGGAAAACGAGTAAGGGGGGAATAGAGTTTTCTGGGCAGACAGAACGGGTATGGTACAGGGAGGACAACAAAGGACACTGATCTGAGAAAAGAACAAGACAGCGAAAGTTGTGATTTTTAACTGCATTGGGTAAAGGCACAAGGAAGTGGTTGCTTACTCCCTTGGCAAACTGCTTACTATCAGAAAAGACTGAACACAGAATGAAAGGAGAAGTAGGGAAACACTGTCCTTCACATTAGGACATTGCTAGGCTTGGGAAAGGTGCAGGAGCTCAGACGATTGCTGTTAGAATTCTAGCCATCTCTTAAGGAGGAGTGTGTATACGTGAGCAGATGAGGAGGTGGCTCCAAAGCTGGCATTAGAGGGAAAACTGAAGGTTATTTGACTGGTAAGAAATGCTAACCGGAAGAGGCAGCTGCACAGGAGACTTCACCTGAGTACCCAGGATTACTGCTATCTTGCTTCAGCTTTCAGTAAAGATCAAAAAACTTGGCAGCAAAAGCATCAGTACGTACACAGTAGGATGTTAATTTCTAAAGGTAAATGTGCCTAATGCATTCTAGTGCATAGGACAAAAGAACATCAGCCCAGAGTCCTGAGGGAGGAAAAGGGGAGTCATAGTGTGTTTTGCATGTGCCTGTGCCTAGTCCCATAGTATTACCTGTTCTAAGAAGGTGATAGGTGCCAGCAGCAGGGAGGCACTGGATGGTATGCTCTAGTAGAGGGCAGAAGAAAGGATGATCATGACTTTGGGAACAGATCTGTCTATATATTCCTTGCATTGGGTGTTCAAAAACTTGTTTGGTATGCTGGAAAAACTTTCTCCTTCAGAAAAGGAGAATCCCAAATTTGGCTTTGATTTCTGGAAGAAGTCCAGATGATTAGAAAACCGAACAAGACTGCTTAATGGAAATTGCAGAAGCAGGAGTTCTCACTGCAGATAGTGGAAAGTGAAAGGCAGCCCTTAGGGACTGCTTTGATACTTGCTGACCTTCAGAAAGAAATGCTTTGATCAGTTTCCTTGGATTTCCCCCTCTCCCCCCCCATAAGCAATCTTGTGAATATGGGTAAGTTTTACCAAAGTTAGCATTGGTATTGAGCCCCTGTAGCTGAAAATTGTTCTTTGGAAATAGAAAATACCATTTTCCCAGAAATACCTATTTAGCCTATTTTTAAGAAAATAAAGGAAAACAGTCTTCTTTTGGTCTCTCAGTGGTTGTACTACCAGAGATTATGGAATATGGTGATGTGAAGGAAAGAAAGGGTTCATAATCAATATGCATTTCTAGATCTCAAAGTGATTGGGCTACTGTAGATCAGTCTGAGGGGAAAAAAAGCCAAAGAAACAACAAAAAAAATAACACCCCACAAGCGATCCAAAAAAGGAAAACACTTCTAGTCCAAATCTTAGATAAGGTCACAAAAACTCTTCTTTGGAGGCTTTTCTAGAGAAGAAGCTGTAAACTCTTATGGGGATCCCTTCAAATAACTCTTAAATAACAACAATGTTCTGATAAAAAAAGTTACAGGTGTTTGTACTGGGCCCATTTGCGTGTTCCTCCATGTCCACCTACTCTGCCAGTATCTTACATGAATGAACAATCCCCGTAAGTGATCAAGTTACTCCGTAATACTGAATTTAACAATTCGGTATATTTTCATCTTTATAAAACGTGCCCTGGGACCTATCTGGGCTGTCAAGCTAGGCCTGCTTCTACATGCAAGAATGAAAGAATTAACCAGATCTGGGAGGTATAAGAGGATGTATTTGCAGGTTGAACCATCACTCCTGACCTACAAATTGTTTGGGGGGGCGGGGAGAGGGTAAGTTGGGATTTAAGAAACTTCCTCTTTAGAGGAATACCATACAAGAAGATGATGACAGAAAATAATGGTACTATCGCATTTTGGGTAACGGCTCTGATTTTGGAGATGTTTGTGAAGTCAAATAGGAAAGCTAAGGGAAAGGAAAAATGTGCATTAGCAAGACTAATTTGGTTAGGAAGCCCTAAGAAGGCTTAGGGAGGATAGATCTTAATTCTTTGTTTAAACATGTGAGCTTCCTGAATATGGAGATGATGCTCTTTAGGCCTCCTGTTTCCTTTGTGCCCAGCTCAGTGAAGGCAGACTTGATGCTGTTGTGACTGACAGTCCTCAGCTGAGGCAGTAGATCAGAGGTCACTTTGATGTGATAGAATTTCATTTTGACCTCTCTGTTCTACCTGTAAAAGCCACATGTCCCGAGCCTTTGCCTGGACCAAGCACTGAGATAGATACATAAAAACTGATCCACCAAGCGGCCACATTGTCAGAAGCTGGTTTCTCTGAACCTTCTTCAAAGCAAGCAGCAAGTCTTTAAACTTAGATACTCCATAGAGAGTAAATTCTCAGAGTTACATTGTTGCTGCTAATCAAACCGCTAGCTTCAAATGACAGCACTATGAGGTTTTACTGTTGGCCTCTCATTCCATGAGAAGGAGGAGTGTTGGTTTAGGCCACCAAGCAGCTTTGGGGCTGCCCATTTGAGAAATTTGTTGAGTCAGTAAGGTCACTTCTTTAGACTTGTCAGTTGATTTTTTTGTTTAAATGAAGCCTAAAGCAGTCCAACAAAGGCAGTGCTAAGTGAATGTATCTTTTTAGTTAAGTTTTAATTTTGTTCCCTGACAAAATAATATACATGAAAGTACATGCTGTTATATTAGCATGATGCCCTCAGGGAGATGAACTGTGTTGAAGAGTAGGACAGGTGGAGGTACAGCACTAACTATACTGGTACATAGTTGAAGTGGTATTACTCTAAGCATAGAAAAGTTTTACACTTTTACACAGCAGCCACTCTTGTGTCACTTATTCTTGTATTTAAAAGCCCAAAGGCCAACACTTTTTTTTTTTTTTTTTTTTTTTTTTTTTTGTTATTATCTGGGGGGGAGGGCAGAAAAAATAAAAGAAAACTGGATGTTCTAGAGAAGCAGGCACAGCTACCAAAGACAGGTCCCACTTCCCCAACCTGCCTCAGTTGGGCCCTGGACAGTTTTGACAAATGATGGCTACAGGGTCAAGCTTTCAGCAGAGCTGCTGCACAAAGGAATGATTAGAAAGTGTGCCCCAAAAGGGATTATTCAATGTTTGTTGAAGGAGAATGCAACATGAGTGAGTAGTGATGTTAAAGATAACACAGAAGCCTGCCTAAAGGGAATAAGAATTTGTTGAATAAGATATCAAGAAAACCATTGAAACTAAAACCAGCTGTGAACTTGACTTCTAGAGAACACTGAAATGCTTGTTTCTGGGAGTTATATAAGAAAATTATATCAGTAGAGTTTGACTTTTAGCAAGTCTGACCAGGGTAAGCATTTGATGTTACGGTCCTCAACTGGAAGCTACCTTGAATGGTGACTTAAACAATTTCACTTTGTTTCTGTATTATAGGGTAAGAGCATTAATGTAGTACATTGCCATATCCCTGACAGCAATTTCTTTAACCAATGTAATGCATTTGTATTGAGAATGGTCATGCCTCTGTAATGGCATAGCCTGGAATGCTGTGTGGTGGGAAGTAGTTATTCCTGCCACTGACTTCACCTTATATTTGCAATTAATGGAATTGTCTGTGCAAGTAACATCTCAACAATGGGATAAAAAGTTAGCTTTTAAAGATCACTGCAATTTATGCTTTAAAACAACAGCTTTCCTTAAAGTATAAATTTTAGTTGTATAACAGAACAGTTTTGATTTTGCTCTAAGTAGAATGCAGCCACAACTATGTATTGTTCTTCCACCCTCGGTTTCAGGTGATCCTAATCCCTCTTCCCTGTTTCCTTTTATCTTCCCACTTGAGAGATCACTTCCCCCCCAGCAGCATTAGTTCAAGTGTTAGCATGACTATCCCACAGAATGGCTCTGTGAGATAAAGCGGTTTAATCTTCACAGTGTCACCCCAGTAAGTTCAGGGCTTAGATCTAGAGTACAGCTCACTGAATGGGTGCAACTGTTAGGACAATAACTTTCTGAAGGGAGGAGGTGTGGACCTCTTAAACTGAATGTGCTGAATGTAGGAATGTGAAACCTAATGAATAGCAGATAGCAGCCTTGAGGCAATAAGAGGAATGGGATGATGGATGAGGTCAGCAGTGTTATACTTAATGAATGTACATACTAAATGTTTTCATTAGTAAATCACTTTAGTACTTACTGTAGCAGGAATTTTCCCATCTTCAGGTAAAATAATAGAAGTGTTTGGTTTTCTATTAATTTCAGGCAGAGTTATTCCAAATACAATTCTCTAAAGCAATTTGATACTTGCATGCAGAATCTGCATAGAGCCTCGTGCTTGTCTCCACCTACAGAATAGTTGCAGGTGTTGAAGTTGCTGTTAATAGTACTGGGACCAGTGTTATGCATCTGTAGGAGGGCTTGGTCACAACATGAGAAATCGTTAGCCCTTCTTGTCAGTTGTTAAGGAGCTGGAGCTGTCCCAACCTCTGCGTCTACTCTGTGTATCACACGCCTAACTGCTGAAAGCCATACTACAAATACTAAGGGTATTCTCAGGGTCCACATGCCAGCAACTGCTCCAGTAAAAAAGAACTGCAGCTTACTAGTCCCGTAAGGAGCACTGTGTGCGGTAAAGGCAGAAGAATAAACGTCACCTTGTCAGTCCTGTGATTTAAAACTTTATTTATAACATCTCATCTTGGTTTATGAGACAGCCTCCATAAAGAAGGTTTCAGGGTAAGTTTTAAGGCTATCTGCAATTTTTCTGTGAGGGCAGCTAGGCTGCAGTTGGAATGCAGAATACCAAATTACTTAAGTCTGGTTAATTATAACAGGTTAACTCACTGGCAGAGTCAGATTGAAATAAACGCTTTGGTAGCAAGACTTTCTTGCCTAAAGTGAGTCCTTCCCTCTGCACTTGTTTTTTCTGCTGACACCTCTGAGTTGGCTGCTGCACTGCAATGTTTCCCCAGACTCCTCTCGCTCTGGAAAGATCTCTTGTCCAGCAGTTTCGCACTACAGGCACCTCCTGCTCCTCTTGGACACCTCCCAGGGTGTACGCTCCTTGTCTTACCCGCTTGCTTGCCTCACCCTTTTTCCACAAGCTCCTGGCAGTTTGATGTATCCTCTGCTTTCTGGGCAGCAGAAGTGATCCCTCTTCCTAAAAGGTTTTGTCTGTCAAGAGCACCCACAACGAAAAAAGAAACCCACCTTTCTCCATGCTGCTCAGTCACAGCTCTTTAACAAAACATTTTGCTACAGTACCTACCTTAATATTAGTATAGTAAACTATGAGCAAACATGAGATCACTGTTCATTACAGAGATTTAGAGAGATCCAAGCTGCACTAAGCATCATCTACTCCTCAGAAAATTTAGTGTCAGGATCCAGAGCTTACAGTGCTAAAGCAAGTGCCAGGGTGCAGCTGAGCGAAAGGGGCAGGAGGCTGCAGGCTGATGGACATAGAGCAAACAGAGGAGCAGAGAGAGTGGAAAAGAGATGATGCTGAGAGCAGACTAGTTCACAAGGGGAGTTAATAATGCTACATAACCTTTCTTAATAGATCAGCAGTGCTCCAGATGTAGAGTAGTTGGCACAGGGTAGCAGAGACCTCTCATTAGAAAGGACAGTGTTGCAGGTCTGAGGCAGGCTTTAACAAATGATTCCTGTTTCAGGTGAGCACTGCTGACAGGGCTGTTCTGTCACAAGACAGAGCCCAGTGGGCCCATGCAGCTGTGTCTGGTTTGTGCCTCTACTGAGTGGGCCCCACAGTATTCATGGGCTCTGCTTTCCCCCGGCTTCATGAGGAGCAGCATCTGACCTCTGTGAACATCCATCTTTCCACAAGCAGAAGGGCAGAGAGTAAAAGATAGAAATTGTATCATATAATCCCAAAAAACTTGGCAGAAGCCTGGAGAAATAAAGTGCAAGTAAAATAAAGAATGCAAACAAAATATCACAGATATCTAGAAACAGAATTGAAGGGAGAAGGTCATCGGTATGGCTAAGAAAAAGTCTGGGGAACTACAACAGACAAGAAAGGCAATTAAACAGATAAACAGCAGCTGCAGGAAACTACACAACTTCTCTGAAACATTTTCCTGTTGTTCTTGGTGGGAAGAGGGTAAAATTCTTCTCGGAACTCCCTTCAGGTAACCAAGGCATAGCTGTGCACAGAGCAAGCTCTCTGAGGAAGTGGTGTTGGAGCAAATAGAGAGACGTATTAGCAGTCACTCCTCAGGGCTTGATGTTGTTGTTCTGTGAGATGAGAATGAAGTGGAAACAAAGGAAGTAGCTGAACTGACAGAAGTGTTGCTTATCAGGACAAAGCATGTGACTGAGACCTAGTGGGTGGGTATATTTAGGCTCCTGTCTTTCTGAAGGGAATTTACAGAGTGCAGGTACCATGCCAGTCCAAAGGAAAATTTTTAGATAAATGTTATTAAAAGCAGTTTTATAGACATTACAGAGGCAGCTAAACAGAGAAAAATTATGGAAATGCTGCTATTGCTGATAAAACCAGTTCCTAGAGATAATGACATGCAGGATGCCAAGTTATCTTCAGTAGTCTAGAAAGCAAGGAAAATAGTAGGGAATTTATTGACATTGTGTGTCTGTTCTCCTCCTGATAGTCAGCTAAGTCTTTAAAAAAAAAAAAAAACGCAGCTTCACCCTGTCCTCCTTATGGCACAGCTGCCTAAGGAGATATTTGAAGGAAAGGAAAATTTGTGATTCATGCGGTGGAGCAGGCAATTAATGAAGACTTTTTAGTTACCTTTGTTGAGACAATTACAAATGTTAGCATTCTTGAAACCATCACCCTTTAAAAAACAAATACCAGGTACTCAATGTATGTGGCCTCCGTCTGCAGCAAAACACACAAGCTGACTGTGGCCCCAGGAGGGGGCTTGTCCCAGGCTAGTGGTTCCCAGCTCTGCCCAGCATTCCCACGTGGAGCGCCAGCAGTCTTGTGGGCCACATGCAGTTCTCCTTCCTTACCCAAGGGGTAAGGGATTTGGAGCCAACCTGTTGAGCTCCTGTTCTTTGGAGCTTCCTGTCAACTGTAAAAGAGGAGCCTGACAGAGTGCCAAAGGCTTCAGATTGCTGCTGTGCTAACACAAAACCATAGTGGCATCATGAAATTGAAGAAGTTACAATGATTTAAGTGTGGTGAGAATAAAGCCCCAAAATTGTCCTTAATGAGTTTAGATTGGCTTCTTCCTAAGCATTTCTTAGTGGCTTTTTATTAGCAGGTTGCTCTGGCAAGCTAATAATCATAGAAACTGTACAGAGCCTTGAAATGGAATTGATAGCTAAGCTTAACAAGCAAGGTACCTGTCTGTTTCTTAAGATGGATTTTGTGGATGAGTTAATATAAAGTAAGATTCATTGATTTGGACTTCATCCAAACAATACATGCTTGGTTTTACCTCATTCTTACCATTAGATCAGCCATGCAGACAGCCTCTTCCTGCACTGTGCTGTGGTATAGCTATTTCTGCGAAGCAGTCATGCCCTTCCTTGTTTGGCAGGCATTGGTTCCCCCAATTCCCACCCACTCAGTTTTGTACAAAGCAAAAATTAACATGGTTCCACTGGCAGAGCAAGAACTGTTTATCCAGGCATTCATTAACTGGGAAGTCTACGTGCTCAGATTTGCCATTTTTCATAATACATGCTTCATTCTGTAACCAAACTTATCCCACCCAGAAACTCCTCTGATATCAGAGGGCCAAATGGTGACCCAATTGCTGACAGAAAACTGACAGTATGCAGAGCACTTCACAATGAGCTGTGTCTCAGTACAGAGCTTGGAGCTTCCACAGTCAGTGGTGCTATCTGTTTCCTCCAGTTGTGTTACCAGACAAGGAACATTTCTAAACTTCTGACCTAAAACTTGCTCTTCCCAGGCACGTACTCCTTGGTCTATAATCTGTAGGTTATCTGTTAATCTCCCATGTTCCCACTAGCTCCAGATCATAACACTGCACTTTGATGTACTTGCAGGATTGCAGCGAAAATTAAGCTTAATGGCCACAGTAGCTTTTATAAGTTAGGAACTACCTCAGTAGCAATATTAAACTACCATTGTAAGATTATGATAAACCAGGAAAATGAATTTGGGGGTTCATCCATTTCTCTTAATATTTCAGGGCTGATATTCACATGGGCAAGTTAGAAAAAAAAGAAAGAGAGAGCGTCTGTAATTGTCTGCAGATACCTCAAGAGATGATGGTTAATGACATTTCTACCCTGTGGACCACTAAAGACTATTTCTAAGAGATGTAATAATGTGACAAAAAAACCCAAATCCATTACCCATAAACTGACATTTAGTATTCAGGTTTCAGGATAGTGACTGTGTCCACAAAAGGGTTGAAATCTTTTAATAGAGGTGAATGAAGGACAGTAATTAGCCACCATGAGCTATTGCTGTGAAAAAACGGAGAAAAGTCAGTAAATTTTTGACAGCGGTGAGACAAGGGCCTTTCCCATTATTTTAATGTGGCCACATTGCAATGTTTCTGTCTTGCAGAGAAGTTGTTACTTTCAACCACTTCCTGGAAGAAGCAGCAGAAAAAGAAGTGCGGGGAAAGGCCAGGCTCCAGCATTTCATCGAGAATCTGTTGCAGCGTGTGGATCTGGCAGAAAGGCAGCTAGAATATTACCAAAATCAGCAGATGGTGTGCAACCACACCGATGTCAGCGAGCACGTGGTAAGCTAGTGGAGCCCTTCCCTTTGTTGTCACTGTCCACGAGAAGCAAAGTACTTGAGTTTGAATACGGGTGGAATCAGTGGCTTTGGTTAATTGCCACTCCAAACAGATCTGGATTTGTAGAATGTTTCTTTAGACGTGTTTTACTGATGTTTTATACTGCCACTTTACATGAGTGAAGGGAGCAGGGACCAAGAGCAGCAGTAGCCAAAGATGGCAAAAGCAGAGCAGAGAATCATGAAGTATTTGCCAGGGTTTTTTTTTCCCTCCCAGCTTTGGCTACTGCTGCTGTTACCTTTGCAACAAACGCTTTCCTTCATGTCATTGAGTCACTTGGCAGTTTTTTGAAGATGTCTGAAGATTTTCAGGAAAGATGTGGATCCCTGCAGAGGACATGTCTGCCTGCTGGCAAATCGTCTTGCTTTCCATAATTACCTATCATGGGGCATTTAGAAATGGTGAATGGATTCCTACAGGCCTGTACCCCACCAATTAATAACCAAAGATGTCTGAACATTGGTTTTTAAACTGCATTGTTTCTTTAAATGCCCTCATTATTAATACTTAACACTAAGTATTTTCCCTACAATGCATTACATTTATATGGCAAGTTTCAGTCACATGACTTCCCAAGAACATTTCAGTTTAAATGAATACCCCATGCTGCTATGCTAAATAATTGCTTATCCTGGGATGTGAGAGGAAAGGCATTTGATCAGGCACAGCACTGAATAGGTAGGTATTCAATGGTGGAAAGAAAAGTTCCAAAAGAGCTTTAGATAAAGACCTGAATAAATGTAGATGTGCTGAAATCTAGCACAGGACAGCTCAAACAGTGTCTGCGAGAACATTGAGGGGGACTGTAAAAGACGAGCCTCAGTATTAAATCGTCTCCTGTGCTCTTGATATGTTTACTGGGATCCACATCTCAGCAGTGTCCTTTGGAGAAGACACTAATTTTTGAGGCAGCTGCCCTGTTTTCTGGGTGACTTCAGCATTCCTCTAAGGTCGTGCATCCAAATATTGACCAGCCTGACCTTCAGGAGGTAATTACAGAAAAGCACACTATGAGGTGGCTCCAGACTCTGTCCAAGACAGATGACAAGCAAAGTTAGGCTGGGCAAAAATCCATCTGCAAAACGTGGACAACAGCAGGGACAGAGGGAACATTTACAAGAACAAAATCGTTTTCAGATGCCAGATCTGACTTGCTTGGCTCAGTGACTTCATTAAATGATATTCAAAGGCTCAGCGTAGTTGCACTGATGGGAGATCAGTACAAAGAACTGATTTAGTACCCAGACCAATGAGAGCTGAGCTGGCATTAAACACCTCCTTTCCTGACCCCCACTAAAAGATGGACTAGACAAAGTGTTTCCACACTATGAACCAAACTGTTGTAAAAAATGAAGTCATGCAAAGTTTTGCGGGCACTGAGGCTATGTTGTCCTTAGCTGGTCCCAGGATTTGGGGTGGAAAGGGAGAGAAATGCGTACTTGCCCTCCACCCTTCAGTGCTGCTGTAGGCAGAGCCAAGGGTTCATAGCTGAAGTTCACTAGCTGCTTGTGTGAAGGAAATACATCATTGCAAAATTAAACACTCTGAAAGTTAATTTAATACAGCTTATTCAGGCAGTGTCCCTTATTAATTCTCTTGGACACAATAATTACTTCTCATTGTATCCATACTGTTTAATCTAATGTGAAAGATTGCTGTTCAGCCCACACTTCTTTAGCAATTTACTTTGATTGCAGTTATGATAAAAATAATGGGGAAAAAAATCCAACCACTAACAACTTACACATTACAAATTTTTAAAACAGATGTAATAAGATGAAGGAGTAATAAGCTGTACAAGTTTGTGGGGGTTTTTCAGTTTCATGAATATTCTTCTAGTTTTAACAGAAGGTGAGAATGGAAATACGATTTTGAAGACTGCTCGTATTTTATCCCTGTGCTTTAATTACTTGATAATGTAATATTAGTATTAATAACCTGTTTCTGTTTTCTTTGCAGCTTACAGACATTTCATTAAATAAGAAACCCAGATGCCTGTATGTATATCTTTTTATTTTTCTCTTACTTAAATACACTAACTTGACATACTTATTCCTGCTTTTGCGTTTTACCTTATCCTAAAGCCTGAGTCAGGTTGCGTTTGGATCAGGTTCTGTATCCAAATATGATCTATATTATGTCATGTAATGGAATAAAAACAGACTTCTGCTAAAACTAAATCAGATATTGTTTGAAGAAAAAAAAAAAGGAAATAATAATTTTCTGTTAAATGAATGACTCCTTCCGGCTGACTGTAATGACTGTAATAGTCTATTGCAAAGCTACAGTAGTTGAACCTTTTCAGCAAACACAAGCCAAGTTTCAGATAAAAATATCTTTATCATTCTGTAGGTAGGAGAGAGACAGTTGTCATTTCCTAACTGACTGTAATACTGTTGTCTTAAAAATCACATGTGAGCAAACAAGTGCCCTGACAAAGTATGAGCGCTTACAACTTAATCTCAAGTTACTCAAACTCAAATTACTGAATCTCAAGTTACTCAAACAGCTGTCCTGGGAGCAGCAGAACTAATTGGGGCTGGTTTCCCATGTCTTCGTGACTTGGTCACGAGTCTCAGTGACTGGTTTGGAGCACCACATGTACTGATGGCAACCTTTCTTGGTGGGGACATGAGTTTGGGTCTTTTTCCCATTTCCATGAAACTTGTTGCATCACCACAGGTCTGGGACTTCTGTGTCCCAGCCAGATTTGTTTGTGTCTGACCAACAGGTTCAAGAATTACTGGAAGACTGAGGCACACGTGAACAGATGGATGAGCTGGAAAATAAACTAAATACAATGTATAGCCTACTGGGAGGGTTTGTTTTTTTTTCCTTAGTGCTAGCAGGCAACTGGCCAAGTACCCTTTGCTGTTAAGCACTGTTTGCATTAACAGCATGGGGCTTTAGCTTTGGGTTTTCTAATTTTTATTGCTTTTATAGCTTTTTTTTTTTTTCTTTTTCTAACTACTGATTTGAGATTCTGAAAAATTTGATTGTCCAAAGTAGACTTTGAGTTGATTGTGTATACACTGTTCGGGCTTCTAGATGTCTTAAAAGGACTGTAATCAAGGAAAATAGAATTAAAATATAACTAGTGACTTGGTGAGATACTGACAAGTCTTTGGCCTAAATACAGTGCCATTTGGTAAAACACGATAATTGCTGGCAAATAGTTCAGAGGCATATATGAAATTGTTTAGAGGTTTCTGTTTAACTAATGATACACTTTTCCTTTGAAAAGACACTTTCAAAACTAGAATTCAGTAATAGCCTGTATTTGGATTTACCAGATTAAAAATATCTCTGCTTGTCCTATGAAGCAAGGAGGATAGAAGAGAGGATGCTCAGAGGGGTAGGAAAGTTTTATTTTGCTCTGCCTGTTCTGTGGATGAATCTAGCATTTGCATTCACCACATCAAATGAGGTTTTAACCAGTTAAAAAAAAATCGGGAAGTGTTATTACCCATCCAGAAAATTCAGTGTAATCTCAGGGGGTTTGAGGCCACTGATGGCTTACGTTGTTTGTGATCAATGGCTGGACTTGCGATCCCTCTTGCTCCAAGGCCTCCACTTTGCTTCCCAATTCCTTTTCTGCAGTTTCTCCTGGCTGTTTTCAGGAAATGCCCCACTGAGGGTATGGCAGTCCTTTGCTGATGCTCACTAGCTTTTTCTCAAAGGCACTGCGACTTGCGGCACATACGTGCCTAAATCAAGTGTAGATGCCAGCTCCCATTGTGAAGAAGCTAAGAATTGGGTCTCTTAGAATCATGAGACTTATCTTGAAAATTACTTAATGTTTGTGAAATGCAGCAAGAATAGGATTGTTCTTAAGTGCCTGTGGCAATGGGGTGCATTTAGTCACATCATTTCAGTCTTTTTCCATAATTTGACAGATTGGGAATATGTTTGAGTAGAAGTTCAGGCTCTCACAGTCACTTATATTGAGGAGCTGCTGCTTTCAGGGAAAAAACACTTCCTGCATCTGGAGCTGCAGCATTGCATTTCCTGTGCATTACCTGCATCTTCATCCATCTTAGATACTTTCTTACCCTGATTGTGAATTAGAGACAGACATCCATCTTCTCTACCATAAACTCGTTCCATTTAAATACAGTTTAGCTCTTTTAGACAATCCCCTCTGATCATACTAACCTTGATCTTCTTCTGGTTTTAATAGCATCACTCAGTGCAGCAGAGGAGTGACTAACATCATCTGCAATCGCCTGCAGTAATGCCTGCATGTGTTTTGGGATGTAACTTTTTCACTGTAACAACATCTGAGAAAAACAGAGCAGTACATCTTTTAGCAACTAACACTAACAACGTTACTAGCAACTGTAACAAACAGCGCCCAAGAAGTGATGATAAACCATAATGGCCAACCCGTGTGCATTTACTCAAGTCATTTCTAACCCCCAGCAAGTGGTCAGAGCACAGGCCTGCACCAGGCCAGCATGGCACCATGCCTATAAACTCTAGCTAGGACCTGCATGACATTTCCCCCCACTCCCACCCCCCCGACTTTCCCATAGGGAAGTCTGGTTGTCAAAGTTGCCAGGCAGGTAAAACTGTTCTGTAGGTAAGGCTCGGTTCCTGTGCTGTTGACTGGCTGTCACTGCCTTCCACCAACAGACACTGTCATGACGCCTCTCTGGTCTTTTTAAGGAGCAGGAGCACACCTGCACTGTACACACCTGAACAAAAGTGCGTTTTCAAAAATTGGCTCTGTCAGGTGATCAATATTGTTTGACTTCCAGAAGAAGTAATAGAACAGATACATGGTTTCCAGAAATAATGAGCTATGGAAAATAGCCCTGTGGGAACCCTTAAGACATCAGCTTGTACATCAGCACATCTGTTCTTCACTTCAGTCACAGTAGCTGGGCAGACATGAGCTGGTGCCTTACATTTGTAGTGCTGCTGTAACACTACATGTATCTGCTGTAAAACACTTCAAGATTATGTTAAAGGGGACTGTAATGATCTTAACTCAACTGAACTGTGGAACTGCAGTTTCAATGTAATATTTCAGAGTAAGAGGGCATGGTTCAGCCTTTGCAGCACCAGGCACTGTGCTGTTTCCGCCTGAGCTCACCAATTTCAGGAAATCCTGCTGGGCTTGAACCATCACAGGAACAAAGAATTCAGCTTACTTTGGCCTTTAAGCTTTCATACCCCTCTTCCTACCATATTCTGTATTGCACCCTCCTCTTCTGTTTTAAATCAAAGCCTGAAAGCAAAGCTAAAGTTTCCCTAGATAGGGGGCTAACATACAGGTAGACTGTGGTGTTTCCTGAGCTATTATTTGCCATTAGAAGCAGAAGTTCCTTGGGCCCTGGCCAGAAGCCAGGGCAGTTCTGAGATCCCACCAAGAAGTTCCTAGAGTTCCTGCACTTTGTACTGTTATGGGTGCTGTGTGGTCTTCCAAAGACCATGGGATGTCCATTCTTTGCAGAAGGTTGCTGTGAACATGGCATCTTTAAAATCCCTGTAGATCACCAAATTATGAGACTATTGACCTCAGTACGGTCTCAGCACTCCAAGATCAGCAGAATTCTACCTGAATAAAAGTGTAGATTACCATGCATAAAGAGTCCACCAGTAACACATGTAGGAGTTCTTGCAACTCTGTTTTTAATTTTCAGCCTGGTCCTGTAAAACAAAGCTATTTCTGCCTTTAAAAAATGTATGGATTTGGAACATTTTGGGGACTTACCACTTTGCAAGACTGAATAATAGTTATTAATAATAACTGTTACTAATTTCAGGAGCCGAGGAAGTCAACACGCTTCATATAACATCCCTGACGCAAAGCCTCATTCCTTTCAAAAAGGAAGAATCTTGTTGAAAAAGACAAAAGATGAAAAAACCAGCTTGCAGCCAGTGAAGTGCTTCTATGAACCTATTGAATGCTCAAGAGAAATATGGAGAGCACAAAAGAAAGGTGAACCAGTCTGCTCTGCCAGGAAAGTGAGCACAAAATCGAAGATGGGTAAAAAGGCCAAACCGCTATAGGAATGGTTAGCAATATGTAGTAACACAGGAGCTTGGCTTCAGCCAAACACATAATGAATGAAGTTAGTCATCCTACTTTTTCCTATCTGGCCATGCCAAAACGTATCAGATATAATATATAGAAATATATATAGTATGGAAGATTTATATTATTTAGTTATGCCATTCCCTCTTTGGGCGCTATAAAGGACATTTTATTCAGTTTACATGGAGGTTTTTCTATTTATTTATTCATTTATAGAGCTTGTTTTAAATGACTGCAGTTACCTTGCTGGGCAGTACTGTGGCTGTACATTTTAATTATTTTAGTGGCAGCATGTGGCTTGGTAATTTATTTCCATCTGTGCTGTTGCTGAAGTTCAGAAGAATCCGTTTAATTGGCACCTAAATATTCAGTCTTTCAGTTTAGGTAGGTATAAGATCAATGATTAACTGTTACCTGCACAGATATACTTAGATGCAGAGCATCTACTTGAGTTGCTTGAAAGGTGTTTACAGCAGGTAGATTGCTATCCTTGATTTTCTGTCATAGGCCCAGTTGGGCGCATTTACATATTTTATTAGATACGTTAAACAGCTCAATCCTGCCAGCAGCTACAGTGTCTGTTGGTATAGGTTTGGGCTGCTTTGGTGTCTCAAGGATAGCTTTCAAATTCCAGAAGCTTTATGGCTTTGTCATATGTACCAGCTTCTGGTGTCACTTAGCAAGGATATCAGAAGCTGGTACCGTGGACCTGACAAGCATGGACTACATTGAGTCAGAGGAGAAGTTTCAGTACCAAGTGCCAGCAGCAGTGAGTACCAAGTGTGGCACAGCAAGCGAACAGCTAAAGCAATATATTATGTTGCATGGTACCACGTTCAATGCCTGTGCTTGGTTTTAGGCGTGAGAGGCCTAAAATGGCTATGGTCGTAACTGAAGCCTTCCACATTTTTATCTCTGAAGAATCTTTACAGGGCCAAGAGATCCCTGAATTTCCATTAAAACCTGAGAACAAGGAAATTAGAGATGACTGCAGGATGGGAATGTGCATGTTTACATTGCTTTGTGCCAATTAAAAGGATCCTTATTTATCAGAGTATTTATCAGGATTTTTTTGTGTGTGTACAGTTTTTTAGTAACATGAATCCTCGTGCCATGTTTACAGATACGAACATCCTGTTGATGTTACTGATGAGTTTAGTTTTCTCAAGTAAAAGAAAGGATAGGTGAGACAAGTCTGTAATTTATTTTTTAAATGCTCATAACAGATGTAAATTGTTTATGTGGAAGGTGATTTTTACAGTATGTGTACAAAGATTTGTGAAAAATGTTTTTCATTTTTTATAACTATGACTGTAAGCAGAACTGAGTATTAGAAGACAGTGTATCACTATGATTACTGCTGCAATAAGCACCTGAGTTGCAATATTTTTAAAGCAGAAGATGACCAATCAGTCAGCTAGGATCAGGTAACTACAGATGTCATACATTTGTCAGTGTACAGGACTCCCAGAAAGTAGCAGAGTGAAGAGAGTAGTATTCCTCACTTTTATTTTAAATATTGTATATGGAACAGTCAGATAGATGTTTAAAGTTTCTCAACACTGTTTCAGTAGCAAGTCACAGTATAAAACCAATTCAGGTATTTAGGTTGTAATGACATTTTCATATTTATTTAACTATGTCACAAGGCCATGCTTGGCCTTATGCTAGGCATTGTGTGTGGTGCAAAGGAGTTGTTAATTGTGTTGCATGGGCTTGGGTCAGATCATGTGTTACAACTTTCTTAGGCAAGCCACAAACTAGAAACATCCTTGATTTTTTCTGTTGCTTCACACATCCTTTTACAAACCAGAAAAAAAATCACCCTTTTTAACGATAATAAAGGTGAACTTTAGGAAGTAAATTATTCATGTTCCCTTATCCACTTGACACTGAAAGAATATTTTTATTTTTAAATGCCTATCTATGCTGTTAGTCACCAAAGTTGAGTTCTGAACTACAAGTTCACAAATGAGATGTTTATTTTATTATGTATCACGCCAAAATCTTGACTGTAAGTTGTCCTTTTGGGGGAGGAAGAGAAAAAGAGAGTAAAAGCAGTTGCATGCTCTTAAACTTTTCAAAGCCCAAATTACAGTTATTTGCTGAACAAATGCCAGGTTAGTTAATTAGAGAGAAATTGGATTGTACTGTAACCCCAGATAAAAGTTTTTAGAATATAAACATTCTAATAATAAAGATATATTTCTCAGTTACTGTGTCATTTAACTCTCTGAAATACAATGTTTCTTACAAAAGTCTATCAACAGCAGAGAAAAAGACAAGAAACAACCTCCCTGCTTGGACTTCTGTTTATTCCTCAGATAAAACACCACGTCAGTGAAGCTGGGCTGTGATCTATCAATGCAGTACAAATTAACCTGAAAGACAGCTACAGCACCTTGGCCACATAGCTTGCACATCACCTGCCCCTCTCCTACTCTAATGATGCATGAAAATTGTTCTTGAGGTAACCCACAAGGTCAGATAACCTGCCCAAAGCAGAGGTGGTGGAGTAGAGGGAAGGGTGAGGCAAAGGGAATTAAGGGCAGAAGGGATCCTGGGAATGTGGGTGGTAAAGTGTCCCTCACACATTGCCAGTTGCTGAGTCATCATTCCATCGGATATCTCCCTGGTTAGAGTGGGAAAGAGAGGTTTTCCCATGCGGAACCAGGTTTCTGTTGAGATGATAACCCGTGGGAGAGGTGCTGTAGAAGAATGGATGAGGAGATGAGGTTCTTCTGACACGTGAAAGCCTGGATAATGTTCATCAGGAAAAAAAAACTCCTTCCCAGACATGTTTACACAATTTACTAGCTCATTTTTACAGTTAATGTCTGGTCATCAGCAGAACTTGATTGCTGGACGTATGTAACATGTCTACACTACATGTCCCATTAACAAAAGTGGAATGCTTGGAAAGGATCAGTACACAGACTAGGCTGAATGTAACTGATGTTACCTTGAGGGTACTTTATGAGGAGGTAACACTGGAATCAGAACAGGTCAATTTTTAAATGATTTTTTAAATCTGAAAGTTGTGACAAAGTTGACCACTGATCTTTGAAAAAGAATTTGCATTGCAGTAACTACATTTTGCCCTTTGACACACTTAGAAGACATATAGGTGGGTTGTATGCTTGTATCAAAGTGAAAATCAGTAGGACGTGGATGCCTCGTTACCACATACGTTTTTTAGATCACAGCTCATCTATAACTAAAATCTGCATCTCAGAGCAGTGTGTATACTGGCTGGTTCCTTATAGGTGAGCTTTCTGCTTAAAACAAAAAGTTCTGACCAACATGTAACATTATAAGCCAGGAAAACAAGAAACTAATTGAAACCTAGACATTAATGTATGTGTATGTATATAGAGAAAGCAATCATTTTGAGATGTTCCTGCCAGTTGAAGAGAGACCAGGTTTTTAAAGCACTTGATGGCATCTGACCCCCCTCTGCCTCAGTAGCAAAAAGCCTCCACCTGCCCAGAGATGCGAACACATTTGTTTTGTTTCCAGGAGAGTTACTGGAAATATTCAACAGGATATTCATATTCAAAGGGATGGCCACCAATTACAGCAGTTACTAGGTCAAACAAATCACCACTTCTGTCAACCCTAATAATCCTTCCAATGCCACTGGCTCTTTCAATCTACTTGAGCAAAATCCCGCTCTTCTCTCTCTTCATTCTGCGTCACCAGATAGTTGCCTCTATTTGTTCTTACCTCAGACTAATGCTGCTTGTTTCCATATATCCTGTCTGAAGTGGCTGGAGTGGACTATTTTAGTGCTCTCTGCAGTGGGCATGGGCATTATTTTTTTATTTTTTATCTTTCTTTTTTAGAAAAAATAATCCCACAAGCGATTTCATGACATGAAACATACAACAAGCTCTTAAAAATAGATCCTGTTGTGACACGAACAAAATGTCCTTTCCCGTTTTTTTGCTAATGCCACCCTCTATCTAGCCACGCTTTTTTTATTCTGGTCTCTTGAATTTTCATTTGTACATCTTTCCAAGGAGAAGGAGAAATAAACAACGTAAGTTAAATGCAGTCGTTGGATTGACAAGCCTTTTCCCTCTTGCTGTCTCCGTCCTAGCATTGCACACTGTAGTCACGTAAAAGTTGGCTTGAATTTTTAATAAAATCATGGAAAAACATGCATGCAACAGATTTTGGGTTCATTATAATGTTATGAAAGACGAAGAGGCTTTTCTGAGCTGAGAGAGACAAAGAGGAAGAGAGATCCTCCGCTTGTTTGAGAAGTCACTTTCAAACATAAATGCAGTGGGTCAGCGGAATTTACTGTGTGCTGGTGTGAGCTGAAGGAAAAACAGAGTTACACATAAAGCAGCAGTGAAAGGATGGCGACTCATTACTGCCTGCTGTCCTAGAGGCTTTGACCTACAACCGTCAGAATATACATGGCCTGACACATTCAGTCCTTAAATCACACATTAAACATGCCTCTAAAGCCTAATTACTAATTTCAAAGTAACAGACTTTAGGACCAAGCTTCCAAGAAGTTACCTCAAGCATTGTCAACAATGTTTGTTCAGACCACAGTTTGTTGGCTTACGGTGGGTAACTGTCCTAAAGGGGGGCTTGTCAGCAGTGGGGATTTCTGTGTGCTTTGGCTCCTTCTTCTCTCCCATCTCTGCTCGGTGACCAGCAGCTCTGCCAGGACTCTACCCTCGCTGACTGTCAGCTGGTTCTGGGGCAATGCTTTTCTTTACTTTGCTGATTTTTCTACCTGCTTCCCAAAATCCCTCCCTCTTCTTTCTGCCAACTCAGTACCTTCAACAGCTTCTCTCACACAGCAAGCACTTTTCCTGGGCCTCAGCTTGCTAATAAGTCACTGCATCGCACCAGAGACACTTGCAAAATGCTTTCTTCAGCAGGCAGGGCAACTGCTGCACTAAAATGGCAGATTATCCAGCTGTGCATAGCATGGCTGCTTTGCTTCATCTCA